GTAGCTGCCTTAGTGCTTGTAATAACGACTCTAGCTGTAGAGGTGAAGCCAGCAGGACACAGAAAGTTGGGAATCTGGAGGCTGGAATGATAGGCTGTGCAATGGGGAGTCTATGCGAATAACAGAGAGATCTTTTAAAAAAATGCACAGAAAGAAACTGGGCATAAAGCTGTGCTTAAAACTGCAAAGGTATTTCACATGCTGGCCTGTCCTTGGAAAGGAGACAAGGAGCAATGAGTCCTGGCGTAGTACTGTAGGAATCATAAAAGGAACAGGTATTTCATCTTCCGAAAGAGGCTTATGTCAGTCATCTGAGTACACAAGGCTAAGTGGGTAGGGACCCGGAGCCCCAGGTTCAAGGACTTCTTGTTCTCTGAGCTCAAGAGCCCATCTGCATTTAGCACCTGGGCTGTGACCTAGAAGCAGACTGCCCCCTCCCTCTGTTTCCCCCAGCTGGTTACTCCCTCCTGTGCACCACCTCACCTCGCCTCCAATTCTTCCCTCATGCCGGATGCCACAGCCAGCATCCTCTGTGAACAGCAGTCCACTGTGTGCCTGTGAGCTACAGGGAGGGTACTGCCATGTCCCTGTCAGATGGGTGGATGACCTGGGTCTTGAGAGGTTTGTTTCCTAACAGGGGAGGAAGCACCAACTCTTGTCCCCTTTCCGTGTGGGAAGGGCTGCTTTCAGTGCTGTGAAGATTCACTTTGGGTTACCTTTGGATGCATGTAGAAGTGCAGTTATACCAGTATACTGTCATCCATTTTAAGGATGGGGGGGACAAGTGGGAAACTTGACAGCTGGAAACAAGGTAACAAGTGGAGGGGAGGAATCTTCAGTTTAATATTGCTTTTGATCTGATGAAAACCACTAGCTGAGGACTAATTTTCCATAATTTTGGAAACTGTTTCCCCTTCTCCTTCCTGCTGTTTTGCTTGCAATGCTCTTCAGGTGGGTGTGTTTTGACCTATTTCTTCGTCTGCACATGCCTAGTGAAGCATAGGGATTTTTAGTGTTTATTGGATAACATATTTCTTTATGAGTTTGCAGATGCTCTTATGTATAGCTACATGCCCTGGGGTCTTCACTCTGGTTGGCAAATAGCACTTCCTAATGTGCTTACCACTTCAGATTGCATTGGATTGGCTGGCAAGGAGGTTGTCTTAGCCTACCCAGGTTACCTCTGTGACATTTCTTGTGTCCTATGCTTTGTTTGCTTGTGTCCTCTCAGAGGCAGAATACAGCAGCACTGCACAGCCTGGGGCAGGAGAAAGCAGTGCACTTCCCAGAAAAAAAAAAGTCCCTAGGGACCATGAGAGCAGTCACAGCCTACTGTAGTTCTTCTACCAGGTCTTGAGAGAGTGACCTTGAACTAGGTGTGGGTTGCATGCTATGAAAGTGCTGTGGGTTCCTATGAGACGCCCTACAGCAACTAACCAGACTTCTTAAAGCTCCTGAGACATGCTTTAGCAAGTTGGCTCCTGGCAAAGAGTCTCTGGAAGAGGTATCATGCAATAACAAATGGGTGACTAAACAAGCTACGTGAGGCATGGTGCTTACTTCAGCTTGAGCGGTCAGTGCAGTGGAGAGCAGTCCCCTAATATACAGGGCACAGGGCCTGAGAGAAACTTTGTGAAACAGAGTTGTGCTGAGACAGGTTTTGGATCTCAGTAGCAGAGATCTGTGCATGTACGGGACTTGGCAGCGTTCTCATGGAGTGACATAAAGAAGATTAGGATCAGACTGCGATGCTAGGTAGTAAAAAGAAAAATGACGTTGTGACAGTCTGTATTTCTATAAATGCATTAAACTCCTAAAGTAATTAATAAAGGGGGACAGTTCAGTTGCATTTTAATTCTAGGACCAGAGGTGTAATCTATGATAGACTGAATAGTGCATTGTGTACACAGAGCCTGATTAGTCATCTTGCTTATTGGTTTGCTGGAGAGGAAATCACTTTTATGATGCAGCAACTTTCCATTCTGTTTATTCCATATTCTCTTCAGTTTTGCTTTTCCCATGTTCAACAGTTTTTCCTTCCATTTCCTGTATTTTTTCTCTTTGTTTTCTCCAGTTTTTCATGCAAGGTACAGCGTGACTGTAGCATTTTTCTTTGTTTTTTAGTTTAGCTCAGGAGGTACATAGTTTCTTCAGGAGGTAAAAATAGATTTATTTATTTTGCATTTAAAGGTTTCTGTGGCTTTTAGGTTTGGTTTGGGAGAGGTTTGTGTCTTGGGAGAGTTGATTTTGTACTGAAATAGCAAAAACAATCTGTTGACTTTTTGGTTGCATTGTTTTTGCTTGCAGGAGCATTCATTTGCCTTCCTGCTAGTCATCCTCTTCCAAAGCATTTTGAAAGCTACTCACTGTTGTCAAATCATTGCTGATACCATTTGTGTGCAATAGACTATGTCCCAGAGAAGTGATTCCTTATACTTTTTATCAAGTAAATTCATCAGTGTTGCAGATGAGTTACTAACTTCCTGCTTGTGCAGATCATTCGGAAAATACCAAGGAGCTAAACTTTTTTTTTGCACTATATTAATTGTTCAAATTGCCATTGAATCCTTGGATTTAGTTCAACATATTTAGATGACAACAAACACCAGCTTTCATCCTGTTGATGATCTTGGACAGTTACAGTTGCCAGAGATACCGAAGTGAAATTACATTATTACAAATTAGACTATTATATTGCTTGACCAATGTAGCTGGAATTTGGGATTTTGCAGTTTATTGCAAATAGAGATGTATTCCAATGTCTTCGATACAATCCCTTGAATTTCTTACACATGCAGCCTTTAAGCAAGGGAATAAAACTGTGAGCAACAGGTCCTCTGTTCACAGCACTACATCACCTATGGAATTTGGCTGCAAATGTGAATGCTTAGATCTTCATAGACCTAAACACCTTGTGCAAGACTTGCAGCCAGCTGTAAAATCAAATGACTTCTAAGTCATCACATAGTATCCCCATAGGAACACTGAATATGTCTAACTAGCTTCAGAGATGTATCGGTGACTTGGGTTGGTCTCTCTGCGCCAGTGGCTCAGCCCTGCTAACAGCACGTTCCATATTCTTCTCCCCTATGTTTTTCAGCCTGTCCAAAGATTCATGTTAGACTGTTATTAATACCCAGGTTAGCTAGTGTGAAATGAGCTCATGCCCATGAACTCATGCACAAAAGATGCAGCTGCAGCACATGCATCCTGTCTGGAACAGAGGCAGGAATAGCATCCATTTCCTCAAGGTTTCCTACACTTCTCTGTGGTGAATAGTCTCAGCATCTTGTTCTGCAAAAATCTGGCACATCCTGAGAGTAAGTTCATCCTGTATCCTAAACAAAGGCGAGGCCATGCAAAATAAAGCAAGGCCAGCACAAAATAATACTGGACTACATAATTTAAGACTGAGTATAAGCAAGGGGGGTGGATGTGAGGTCACATAACCCATCTTCTGGTATTTCCTAACTCTGACTCCTTCATTGTGCCACCTTAATGATTTTCTTTTTAGTTGATTTTGTGCCTGTAATACTTAGGTGAGTTGAAGGGTAAGGACAGAAGAGATGAGGGCTAATAGGAAAAACATGTAGCAGAATTAAACTTATTTTAGAAGGCAGGTAGTTTAGCTATATACTTTGAAGTAGCTAGGTTTTGTAAAGACCAGGGTGTGAAGGGTGAAGACCTGAGGTATCTCTTGGGAGAAGGGGGCAAATGTATGAAGGTATTTTCGGCTCAAAGGAAAAATTACAGAGAACCAAACTTTGGCTCCCAGCCCACAACACACTGAAAGCCATCTCAGCAGGGTACAGAGTGGGATAGTCCCTTAAGAATAGCTAAAATTTCCCTGTGTTTAATCTGTTATTTTTGTTACATGTAGGCTGTATAAAACTGCTGCTGAGAAGAGCCTCCACCTCTGGTCATTCCCAGTGACAATCACCAAAATCCCAAGAGCTGCTCTTCCAATAACGGAAGCATCTTGTTCTGATACAATGCTAAAGCCATACCACAAAAATATAGAAAATTGTTAAAAGTGGTCAGGATTACGTTTGAAACAGGAGAGAACAATTAGATTATTAATAACCCCTCAGACGTCTTCTAGCAAAGTACCCCATTGACACAGCACAGGATTCTGGATAAAATGATACTTTTTTCCCAGCCCCTTTATCGCTGACACAATTACTTATAACCTTCATTTTCAAACAGTAATACTCAGGCCCGCGTGGCTGGCTGTCGTAGTGTGAAGAGTTTTCCAGGAGCCCCATGACTCTCTCCTGTGCTGGTCATACAGGGTGGTGGTCCGTTTTTCGAGCTCTTCAGGGGAGTAGTTGATCCCCTAATGGCATTCGCTGGGGCTTGGCTAGAAGGGGGCGAGGTACTCGGGGAAGGAGAATCCTCCATCTGAAATAACCGCTGTGGGTTTCAGCTTCCTTGGTTTCCCCCTCCCCTTTTCTCCCCTAGGTGACAATGAGTTTGTTAATTCCTGGAGGCTAGGGAGGGGCTGGCGGGGTGGGAAAGGCTCTAGAGCGGGTTGAGGGAGGCTCTGCCCCTCGCTTTGTGGGTCTCCCGCCTCCCCCGGGCTGGCGGGGCGGGCGCGGAGAGGACGGCTCCTGCCCAGGGGAGGAGGAAAGAGAAACAGTGGCTGCAGCTGAAGTCAGACAGAAGATACGGTCATTATTGAGGGGAGACGGAGCAACGCTTTAGTTTTCTTCACGTGAGTCTCTCCTCTCCCTTGAAGGTTTTGGTTTTATAATTCGAGGAGGAATTTCAGCAGACTCGAGCTGAGTATTACGTCTTTCTAAACACACAACGTGCTTCCTTTTACGTTTTCTTTTGCAGACGGGTCTCAGCTGGAACCAGTTCTGTTTTTTTATCCTTACGGTAAACACCGCCGGGCGGGAGTAAGGCCGATAGCAGCCTGAGCGGCCCTGATAAGCGGCAAGCTCTGTCCCCTTTGCTCAGATGACTTAAAACATCTGGTGTGTTGACAACTGGTAAGTGAACACCTCTCCTCTATTTCATAAAGTGTAGCGAGCTCTGTAAAGAGCATTGGCTGGGAGGATTTCTTGGATGGTGCCCGAACTCGTAGGACCGGGCACGACGAAAGCCCTTATTCTCGGGTTTGCCGGCATTCTTGCCGTGAGCCATCTTCCTTCCCACCACGCTCTTGCATTATTTCAAGCTGGGAAGGCTTCCAGCTAACCTCGTGTAAAGCCTACGTGTGCTTCCAATTTTAAAACCTCCTTCAGGTAAGTACTGATGGCAGCAGCTGCCAACAACATTGTTATTTAATGTAAATAACTACATATTCAAAGGTAGAGCTGGCTATTCGAATACATCAGTGTGTTCCTGGGTGAAAGCATTCAAGGAATTAATTGAATTTCCAAAGAGATGAAGCCTGCCTCTACAAGCTTCCTTTGAAGGGAATACAGTTTTAATCGGCTTGAGAGCTGGTGAGATGAGATGTCTCAAACCTTTCCCAGAGGTTCCTGGGAACTTCCTGGTAAAAATTAACATCGCGGCGTCGCAGGGACCCGGTTACCGCTGGGGATGACCCTGACTGAGGCTGAAGCTCTGCCGCCGCCCGGCTCGCCGGAGGAACTTGAATGCGCTTGATTCCCCATACACGCCCCCGGTGCTGGGACCGGCTGGGCTGAGGGGCCGCATGCGGGGCCGGCTCTCGCCCCCGGCCGGAGAAGGGCCCCCCTGGGGGGCGCGCTCCCCAGCGGGCGGCGGGGACAGCCGCGGGCACCGGGGCCTCGCTCCAGCAGCCGCTGGGCAGCACAGGAGGAAGCGCCAGCGCCGAGGGGGTGTCCGGCGGGCTGCCGGCCATCACCTAGCCAGGTAGGCGGCTCGGGGCTGCGGGATATGAGGGAAAGGGCAGTCCCCGTTCCCCCGGCGGCTCCTCCGGGAAGGAGCTTGGCTGGGGCGGGGGGGAAGCCGTTCGCCTTTCTCCGGCCTCCTGGAGCAGCCCCGCTGGTGGGTGGTCGGCGGAGCCGGTCCCAACCCTGCCGCCAGCCGCCGGGCCGCATGCTGCCGGCCCCGAGAGCCGCCCCGCGGCGGCCTCGGGGTCCCCCGCGAGCGATGAGTCGGGTGGCGGGGCGGTGGCGGGCCCGGCGGGTGGTTACGGGGCGGGAGCCAGTGGTGGGGCGCCGGGTGGGGGCTCTAGAGCTGGGCAGGGCAAGGGGAAAGCGGACACATGCGGGACGCGCAGCCCCGCGCAGGGGGAGCCTCCAGGCAGAACTAGCGGCGGTAGCCGGCAGCGGTCCGTAAGTGGAATTTGAGGGGAGACTCGTGGCTTCTGCTGAGATGCTTGGGTCTGGTAATCCCAGCGTGTTGCCATGGCTGCTGGTCATGCAGGTTCGGATAAAGGATTGCTTTTACTGGGGGCGCTGAAAGGGAGAGACTGACTGCCCCTTGGAAATGCCCAAGGCCTAGGGGAAGGAACAATGGCTGTGTGGGTAGACTCAGCCTGAAGCTACGCGAATCCATTACTTATAGTTTAGGGAAGAAACAAACCCTGGAAGTTTTATGTTCTCTGCTTTTTTTTTTTTAAAAAAAAAAAAAAAGTCTTCGGATTATTTTCTGTCAGTGGGGGTGGTGCTTCTATTTTAGGTATGGCAAACTGTGAGGTCAGGCTTGCTGTCCTCTCGCAAATTAAAATTTCCAGCGAGATGAACAGCTCAGCTGTTGTGCTCCTGCTACCCAATTGAAATTTTCTGTCCAGGTTTCTTTAGGTTTTGTCCCTCTCATTACCCACTTTATGCCAATCTGTTCTTCCATACTATGTGGTTGCAAAACGATTTAGAAAGGACAGACTTTGTGATGGGGTGAAACTGCTTGTTTTAATCTGGCAATTCCATTGTAGCTGGACTGTCTAAAAAGATTGTTCATTAAAAAGTATATATACTTTGTGGTGAATGCCACGGTACTAGACTTTAAAAGCTACATTCAGAGTTGGCTTAAAGGAAAAGGAAATGTGTATGGAGTGAGGCTTCCTACCCATCCATTTTTTGAATAGAATATATTCTTATCTGATTAGTTCATAGAACTGAAACTAAAATAACTTTCCATCCACATGTAAGACAGCACCACTGTATCCTTGTTTTTATTCTTCTCACGTGAAATAAATCTATGAATCTTTCTTTTCATCTTTCTTTTCATCTTTCTTGATGCAGTACCTGCTTCTTTAGCATATCTGTCTCTCTGCGAGTCAATTTAAGTTATTTCTTAAACTTAAGGCTATAGTATTAAAGGTGGGTAAATCCATGATCTCCCTAAAGGTCATTTTGGCTGTAGGAGACCTCTCTTGCTTGTTGGATGTATGACTCGTCTGTTGAGACTTGTGAGACTCCCCGTGTTCAAGTACGTCCCTGTTCAAAACTAGCAGGAAAGTTTCTCTGTGAGATCAGTTCCTTGTTGCTGAAGTGCCTTTGGGAGCAGCTGCAGAGCATGTAGGCAGGACAGCCAAACCTGAAAGCTGGCAGGAAGATCACAAGTGCCTGAGTCCTGAGTTGTGAACGAGTGGAGAAATAGGTGAGTTACGGTGTTCTGGCTATAAAAGGTGATTGATGAGGTAGTATGTGCTATAGTATAACTATGTAGTTATGAGATATGTACTGTGTGTGCTGCTGAATAATAGTTTTTGCAATTACGCAGGGGAGTTGCCTCACTGAGGAGGAAAATACAGTAGCTGATGGGGTGGTGGGTCTCATTTGCAGGGGCAAGTGCTTGAGATGCTTCTCTTCCACTGTCTCCTCCTCCACTGCTTACATGGAGAGACAGTTTTAGAGCATTTCATATGATTGCTTTCTTCCTTGTGTGATTGTTTTTGGATAGAAGGCAGGGACTGTCAAGAGTTTTTTTTTTTTATGATAGCTTCTTTGTCATTAACACTTATCCTGGCTTGTTTTCATTGTTAGTTTCTGGGTACACCACGATTAGTGCCTTTCAGTAAAGGCTTGATCTGTTCTCCCAAGACAGGCTTGGTAAAGTTCTCATACACTGCTTTGGGTGATTTGGTTTGATTTTGTTTTTTTTTTCTCTTATGTGTTGCTTCATATGCTGCTGGAGATTAGTTCAAGTATTTTGGCTTGGAAGAGGATGCAGTGAGATTGGCCATTTGAAGATAGAACATGTACATGAGGTGGTCCACATCATTGACTCCAAGGGCTTGTGGGGAAGGGCTCTTGCTTATTTTTTTTTTCTCCACGGTATAGCTTGAGCTGTAGCACAGCATCTTGGTTTATTTGTCTTTCTACCTTAACATTAAGATTATTTTACAAAGAGGCATGAAAGGTTATTTTTACTGTGTGTATGATGAGAGATACTCTGCTGTGTCTCCCTAGTTAAGTGCATTTTAGGAACAGGCTCAAGATTACTTGAAAAACATTTTACAGACCTCTTTCCTTACAGATGGTTGTACTGTTTTAGTTAAATCAGTTGAAATGTGCACTGTGTGTTTTAAGTGGAGTTAAATTTATCAAGCTTCTGACAACTCGTCATTTTTTGAGTAATTTGTTCACTGATTTCTTTGGTCTTATAGGGAAGCTAGTAAATAATATTGGGAAATTAATTTATGGGGTAACTGAATATACAGGGTTTTTTGTTTTTCAGTCTCTAATTTTTACCACCTGTTTACTCAAAAGAACAAGAGCTTCGTAGCAGAATGCCCTCCCCTCCCCCTAGACTTCCCCATTAATCCAGTTTCTCCTACTTCCATTTTTGCTATGTTATGTGTGGCTACTTCTGTACCTTTGCATAGTCTTCAAGGGAGATTAAAACTTCTCAGACTGTTTGGTGTATGAACTACTCGAAGCATTAAATCTTTCTTTCATCCTGCTACAGAAGAATAAAAAAAAACCCTCGGCTTTTCTTGATGTGTACTGAGGTTGGAAGGAAAACATGAGGTGCAGGCTGTTGTTTCCTTTACAAGTCACCTTTCTGCGGTGTGTGAAAATTTGTGGCTCAGTGCAGTAATTGCTGATATCTGTAGCTACTGTTTGTGCAGAAAGGTTGAAAAGCTGAAAAGTGATGGGCAGTATTAGCTCAGGTGTACTATGAAACAAAAATAGTGAACGTGTGGCTTGTGTGTAGTATTGCTGCCTTTTGAAAAGTGCATTGAGCAAATGGAGGTGCAGAATGTCGCAAAATACTTTCTGGTACTGCTTCTTGCTGTGTTCTGTACCTGTCATCTTCAAATATCGCCACCTCCTTTCATTTTGTTTGAGTGGGGTGTCTCTTCAGCTTTCAAGGTTGGTCATTCTCTGGTCTTGAAGGCAAAAGTCTTGATATCTCCAGAGAAAGCGCTGCAACAGAATGAGCAAATGTTAAGCTTCCCCTGGAGAATACCCAGACTTTGCATGTAATTGTTCTGCACTCCCTCTGCTTCCAGCCTTGGCAGTAGCAGCAAAGCTGGAGTACATTGTGCTAGAGCTATTCTTTACATTCCAGCACCCGTGGGGAGCCAGGAGGAGCAAGGCAAAAACTTGAATAGCTCTTACTTGCTCTGGCTGGGAAGGGAAGGCTGGAAAGTCTGAGGAGCCGCAAAGCTGATCCTCCCTCCTGTTAGGAGGGCAGGAATGGAGTAATGAAGGAACTGGTTTTAAGAGCTGACAGAAATGAAATGAAGTTCAGACTTAATTATTGAACCTCTTCTTAACATCTCTTGATTTAGAGTGCAATTTTGCATTCCATAGGGGAATATTGCTTTCTTTTGGGCTGCTAGCCAGTAGGAAACTTTGTGAGATGTGTGGCTAGCAGTCTTGGATTTCCACTGAGTCTTCAGCTCACTTTGAGAAAAGTTTCTAGTCCTTTTGAGTACAGGTTCAGGAAACACTGAAATAAGGATCAGCTGCTGCAGAGCTCAGAAGAGTTCTTTGTTAGACTGGATCTGCAGACTGGCACTTGCACAGTGGTAGCTGGCCACTGCTTTCTTTCATTGCCGCTTTTCAGAGTGCTATGGCCAGCGGTACAATGAGAATGGTGTGAGGGGCATGTCACTGGATTACCTGGAGCCTTGGAAGAGGAAATAATATGCCTATGTAATGGTTATTTAATAGTCAATACAAAATGTGTGTATAAAATACAAATTATACCCCATGTGGGATGGAGGGCTGGGGGGAGAGTTTCTGGGTTTGCCATTATCTTTTTTCTAGTATATATATATATTGGTTATAGCTGGGCTCTCTTCTGGGCAGCTAATTTTTTGCAGGGGTGTTGGGCTGAGATTTTTTTGGCTACACAATGA